AACCAATTTACAACTTACTTAATAATTGCACAATAATTCAATACAAAATTACTACACCAATTTCACAATATTTTTATAACAATTTAGATAAATATATTCCCGGGTCATGGACTTGCTAGAAATTATGCTACTATTTTAGCTTAAGATTGATTTATTGAATTATCGGGGTTATTGATTATAAGGTTAATAATATTCATAAGAATTTTTCGAGTTCTTATGCATCTATTCAAGTTAAACTAATACCTATATGTCTATGCTATTAATATTAGCAAGAATGCATTTACAACTCATATTTTTCAACCAAGCAAGGCAATTAAGTATAGTTCTATCTTAATTGCGAATCTTTCACCCGATGCCCAAGATCCGGATCTTGCTCTATTTGATTCTATATGCAACCAAAAATTTTCTTTGTCAAGTTTAATTCAAGATTCATAAATAATATTTCACTGTTAGCTACGCAGTAAAATAATTAGAAGCAGAATCAAATAAATAACTCATAACAATAAATTCAAGATCTTCAATCTAAGCTTCAAATAACATAATTATCTAACATCTATGACCCAAGAATACTAAAGTTTTTAGCTACTCATAATTATACAAAAATCAACAATAAAAGTTTTAAACATAATATAAACAAACAAATAGAAGAAAGTTTAGAAGAACTCTTTGAATCCTTGCTCCAAGATGTTGTTCTTCTTCTCCTTTTTTAGCTCCAAGATGAGCTCCTCCTTCTTCTATGGCTTTTTTTTCCCAAGGATGAATAGTATTTTTGCACTTGCTCCCCTCAAAATCTGATCTATCCTCTCAATAATGGAGCTTTACTTTATGTAAGTTGAGTGGGATTAAGAAGGAATTCCAATTTTACCCCTAAATAAAGTCTCTCTGGGTCGGTAGTGCGCGAACTATTACGCGAACTACAGAGTTCGCGCACTACTTCGCGCAGTATTCTGCCTCTGCTCCTTATACACGCGAACTACTACGCGAACTTTGTAGTTCGCGCGATAGTTAGCGCGCCTCTGAAGCTTGATTTTTTCTATTTTTGTCCGTCTCGTCCTTGCGCACACTCGACTCCTAGGGGTTGTTCTTGCTCATAAATCATCCCAATATCCTCTTGAAAGCATCATTTAGGCTTCTCATCCTGCAAGGTATACATATTTTGAGTAGAGCCTGTTTTTCCATCAATTAACCATAATATGACATCGGAATATAATCAAGCAGAAGCATAAACAATAGCTAAATCACCTAGATTTCGCCTATTATCAGGTTACTCCAAATTACTCTCTTCTACATATTCTTTTGATTATGAGTAACCCGCGTTCTTTTAAATTTTAGCTTTGACTGAAATTCTATTTTTTGATTAAACAACTTTACCAATTACACCAAAACTCTCATCCTGAAAAACACGAACTGCATTATCATCACAATTGTACTTTCACCAATCATATTTGATAAAAATCAAAGCACAAATAAAAAAGGACGAGGGTGATCAAGAACAAACACGCACGAAGAAATCAAAAATGCAATTAACCAATTACATCTGGTTAATTACTTCAAATGTACAACACTTAAACTTTGAAATTTCCAATTAGGCTCATATTATTTCAGTTCAACCAGTCGTTGGAGGAGGTCGTTTGCCCGGAGGTTCTGGCTTTTTTGCTCTTACAACTACGTGCGTCAACCCCTCGCCTTGAGCATTTGCTGCTTCATCTTTCTCCACTAGTCCTTGATCTTTAGCAATTTCTAATCCTGAAAAAAATGAAAACATATGCACACCCGAATCAACAATAACAATATACCCAGTATGATCTCATAAGTAGGGTCCGAGGAGGGTGGGACGTACATAGACCTTACCCTTATCTTATGTGAGATAGTTATCTTATGTGAGATAGAGAGGCTGTTTCCAATAGACCCTCAGCATATACATACCCAAATCAAGGGGCAGCCCGGTGCACTAAGCTCCCACTATGTGGGGTCCGGAGAAGGACCGGACTAAGGGTCTATTGTACGCAGTCTTATCCTGCATTTCTAAAATATGTTATTTCCACGGCTCGAACCCGTGACATCCTGGTCACATGGCACCAACTTTATCAGTTACGCCAAACAATGACAGATCCAGAATTTATAGATTATGAGTGTTCAACTATACTTAATTTGAAATTACTATTTAGACTGGATGCTTAGTTAATATATTTGTATAAATTATTAAATTTTTTTTATATAAGTAGTAGTGTTGTTTTCAAAAACAATGAGTGCTTAAGCACCCATATGATATAATGTGGATCTGCCATTGACGCCAAGGCTCCCCTTCGTATACATACCCAAATCATTTTGCGAAAAATGAAAAAAGAGAAAAATATCTTAATAATGAAATCAACATGACGACTAATTAAGGGTTATAGTTTAGTGGTATCAGTACAAGATATTTCGTACTATAGGTAAGGACGATTTCCACTGCCCTGGTTCCCCAAACTCTTATGTAATATGATATGAAAATGTTTAAAAATAAGAAACGGCACTAAAAAAATTGGTGAAACATTATGTCGATAAGATAGTTTTCAACTCTTAATTACCTTTAGCAGGTTCTTCACTTGGAGTGATGGATTTAGACAGATCTTGAATCTCGTTTCTCTTATCTTCAGCCATCTTTCTAATTTTTCTAGGTATTTCTTCCACAAGGCTCGAGTTGTATGTATAGAAGATTAATCATTGATGGTCAATTAATTGCTTTATCTAAATAGAGTTGACAATTAGAGACGGAGCTAGCCTATTAAGTGCGGGTTTGGCCGAACTCAATCACTTTTACTTAAACACTGTATTTATATTAGGAAATTCATTGAATATATTTAAATATTTAACTGTGAAGCCAGTAACTAAGACGAAATATGGGTTCTAAGGCATATTAACAACCCATAAATTTTAAATTATGCCTCCGGCTCCGTTGACAACCGTTAGGTTTCCTAAGGCATTATTTTAGACTTGAGATTGGCGTGCTATTATATTATATAAGGTTCATATTAATTATTACATCTGTATTTTCAATTTGCCAGTTGGACTATACGAAGGGACATGCCCTTCTCTTTAAAAATCTTTCAAATAATAATTGAAGTGCTCTTTTAACTACAACAACAATATCAACAACAAATTCAATTTGATCCCAATATGTGGGGTCTGGGGAGGATAATTTGTACGCAGACCTTACCTTACCTAATGCACGTAGAGAGGCTATTTCCAATAGACCCTCGGCTCAGGAAACTGGTGCTTTTAACTGTGTCCAATAATAATTGAAGTGCTCTTTTAACTGTGTGCTTGAAACTTAATAAGAATTGTGCATTCATGTTAAATTCCAGTCCGTGCTTTCAAGTTCATTTAAGGTTACTGCTGTGGTTTTTGTTCATCAGCAAACAAAACTAAAGATATTAAGATAGTACTCCCACCGTCTAAATTTATGGGGTGATGTTTAACTGGCAATGAATTTCAATTCATAAAAGAAAAAAAAAATTGACACTTATGGTCTAAAAAAGTAAAAAAATATATTTAAATCATTTCATTAAGAAAAAAGTAAGATGTTTAGAGCTAATTTATTTCTGAATATAACATTAATGTAAGTATAGGCTAAAGGAAAAGTGTTTCCCGGAAGGAGCAGAAAAAAGTTGCAGTACATATATTGGGAAAAGCATTAATAATAAAACTTCGGACATTTAATATCACCCGGATCCGTGGCGCAATGGTAGCGCGTCTGACTCCAGATCAGAAGGTTGCGTGTTCGATTCACGTCGGGTTCAAAACTCCCGATCCATCCGGTTCCCTTTTTATTTATTTCGTTCTCACTCCCCACCACTACCCATAAGCTTTAAGGCACGGCGTAACCCATGAGTATTTAATTTTTAATATTTCAGAAAATAATATAATTATCGAAAATATTTTTAAATAGGTAAATTGCATAAAAATTGATATATATATATATATATATATATATAAAGTTTTATACATAGAGGAATTAAAAGGATGACTAATCTGGAATTTGAATTTTGAACTTGCTGTTATGGAGGAGAATAAAGTTTCTTTTTGTATTCGCAAAAAAAAAACTGACTGTTCGTTATTTTTTGGAGATAGTAGTAGACCAGCGGACAAGATAAAGAATTGAAAAAGACCATAAATTAAGGCTTCTAGCAATAAAAAAAAGGTCCTGACGTTTAAATTTAATGTTTCAGTTCCTTTTTAAAACTTACTAGTCTTAGAGTACGCGCGTGTATCCTGAATTATGAGTAAAGACCTTTTGAAAACCACATAAATATTATTAAAAATATTGTAAATTAAAAATTATAATTTTTTACAATATTATAAGTTCCTAAAAATAATGAATGTTGATTCTATTTAACTAATTCTATAAAAAAAAAAAAAGTCCTCATATGTATTATAGTAATTCTTATACATGGGTTGTTGTTGGTTTAGAAGTCCAATCAAAGAAGGCATAGTGTGTTAACTTGTATTAACATTGCTCATAATAATATTTCAGTTCGTATATAATCTTTAATATCTTTTTATAGGAAACAACGCAAATGATAAGTTGGAAGTGGTTTTCAAATAAGCTTTTTCAACTTAACTTTGAATACTATTTTTTCAAATATCACCAATTATATTCAACATCAATTTCCAAATTAAGAATATACTTTAGTTTTATCTATTATCATCATAAAATAATAGTATTTATATGTTATTTTAAAGAAATAGTACATAATTGAGAGATAACAGGTTCTGTCAATGTTACAATGATATATGTTTATCCATAAATAATTGTTTTTGAGTTATAACATTCTTAATTTAGAAGATAAATTCACATTAAAACAATTTTACAGGGAAGTAAGGATGATTCTTTTCTTACATGGAATTAAATGAACTTGACACTTTCCAAAAACGAATTAAATTGTGTTCAAGATAAAAATATAATACTTACAATTAAAGTCGTAAATTAAAAGGGGTAAAGACTTAGATTAAATGCCTAATCCAAACAACTTGTACAAAATTTATACATTCAGTCAAAATGAAAGCATCAAATCCAATGCATGAAATAAAAACTTATATGTTAACAAACGACTTTTGAAAAGCTGGTACAAAAGTTTTTAAAATAAAGAGCACTGCCATTCAATTAAGAACGCCAAAACAAAAATGTATTAATTGAACATGTGAATGCAAAATTTAACTATTAATACAGATATATTAATTCAATTCAACTACTAATACAAATACGTGAAGAAAAATTCAACTACTAATACAAAAGTATTTGGCTCAAAGAAAGAGAACATGAGAATCCTTAATTTGATGATCAAAATACGAAATTTTAGCTTCTTTCCTTGAAGTATTTAGGTATATAATTTGAAATAGAAACGAATTTATATGAGATAAAATTGCATGTAATTCAAATAGTATATATTAGAATAAAAGATTCCTAAACGAAAAGGCGTGCAAAGTGCTCGATGTTACCTATTATTTCAAATTTTTCTTAACTGAAAAGATCTTCCTAAACCTAAAGAGAATCTAATGTTCCTAATAAAACTTTTCTACTAGTTTTAATTGAAAGTGCAAGGAGAAATTTAATACTCCAGGAAACTTTCCTAGTACGAAAATTTCCTACTTTTAGTTGAAATTATTTGGAATTCCATAATTAAAGGAATTGAAAATTTTAAGTTTTATATATTAGGGAAATAATTAATGAGCTTAAATATTAGAAAAATAATGAAATAACTATTTTATCCAATGTGAACTCTAAAAAGGTAAAAAAATCGAACGACATTTCATTATGGGCCTTCGTGCTTTTAATATAAACGTGCGTTGCACGTTAATAATGACACATGATGGTTTAAATATTTATTTATATGAAGGAATAATAAATTTAATTAAAGAGAAATTTTTTATATATAATACTACAACAATCATTTAAATACCGAAAAATATTGTTACATAGCATAATAAGTGAATTCAAAATAAAAGGATATCATCAGAACTTACGTAAATGATCAATTTTAATCATATTAAGTAGATAATTATGTATTGTAGTTTAAAAGTATCTAATGCGATGGTATCTTATCGAATACTTCTTTATAGATAGTGTTTTTTTTATATGTTTCCTTCTAATACTTTGGTTACTCTGCCATAACCAAAACTCTTGTTGTCGATATTTATATATCTCTTGAAAGTGCAACATATAGTTATTTGTATAGGAAAATATATTGTGCAAAATATAGTTAAATATTTAGGATGATTGTCCTTGTGTTTTATTTATTATAACTATAAAATATAAATATATTGAAAATTATTTTCACACAAATTTAAAAGGATATTTTTTAGTTTCGGAAGACGGAAGTTGAATTCGGGGATAAATACATATTTAGAAGCATATTGACCAGTATCATAAGTTCTGCGTGTATGTTATTATTGTCAAAACTTCTATAAACCATGTGTGTACTATTACATAAGCTATTCAGCGTATCTAAGTTTTCAGTAGCATGACATACATATTTTTCTTCAAAATCAACATATATGCAATGGAAGATCAATTTTAACTTTGTCTATTATATATATGGTGACACTAATATACGTAAAAAATAATGAACTTGACAACAAACATGTACGGTAGAAGACCACTTGATATTACAATATTTAAGTATTCTTCTTAGTAGTTATTGTTGATATCGTCTTCTGTTGAGTCAAAACTGAAAAATATTTTATTTTTACCATAAAACATAGCAATCAACTTTTTATTTAGTTGATCAACATATTCATTTCTGCTAGCTAAGATAGCTCTTTAATTTCTATCATGTAATTTGCACAAATTGTGTTTTAATCTAATGATGAAAATATATATTTCCTTATTAAATGCACTATTATTACTATTGGGGTTGATAATCAAGTGTTCTAGAAGAATCAAATCATCTTTTAATGGATGCTCTTATTCGTTTCCAACACGAAGCAAGAAGTCACCGAATGTTGGATCTGTTCTTACTTTTATATTTCTTGTCATTTGAATATTTTTCATTTGAGGTCAAAAGTATAATTTTGGCAAGCTAGCTTTTACATTTTCTGCTTTGGTCAATTTTGGAACTACTAATCGTACTTGACAGAAATCACCTCCCAAACTATTACTTTTCCACCAAATGATTCATCAATATCCAATATATTTCTAAAACTCTAGGCGATTATTTCGATATTTTGACGCTTAGCCAAAAACGCTTCATCCCCTATTATCACGTTTGCTTTCCTTATAAATTTAGTACTATTGCTCTGATTTGATATATTTGTGACAGTTATTTCAGTTATTTGAAGAGGTATATCAAATCTAAAGTGAGTTGTACGATATCATAATAAAATCGTTGTTGGTACACCATTTTCTCTTATTGCTAACAATATCATGCATCTTGATTTGATATTTGCAAGTAATGCATGACATAGACATATTATTTTGATTCCATCGGAGGTATCTATAAAGGACAATCCCGCTATACCAGAGTTGATTTTTTATAATATAGTCTTGAAAATTTATTGTTGTTCAGGATTTAGCTTTGATTGTGCTTCCTTAAACACTTGTATGACCTTCTTAATATTATACTAATCTTTTTTACTTTGTGATCTATTTTTTTAAATCTCTAACACTCTTTTTATGCAATAAATTTATGTACCCTAAATTT